CTGTCATGTAATCAACGAAGACTTAATAGAGTCATTTCTATTAATTTTACTGTAAGTATAAGCAAAACTTATCTGGATTCACCACAAGAATTATAGTCATCTTCCTTATACGAATAGTATTTTAAATTATTATATATTCTTCTCCCTAAACAAGCTAATAATAATGATAATAACTGAAGAAAATTAATGCATTTCTGACTGTTTAAATTCTCTTTAGTTACTGAAAATACTTCATGCCCAAGTATCTGTTACTGTTTAGGATACTTGGAGATGCAGGACATCAATAAAAACAAATACAAATACTAAAAATCATTATGAAGATTTGAACCAAATCATGACACTCTCAAATCACCAAAGGTTGTGATATAATTGTACATAAAAATGGAAGCAGAATGAAAGAGCAAAAAAACCAAGGTTGTAGTATCTACAGCAACTGCTATGGAAAATTCCCAGCTCTTACAAAAGAAGAAAAAAAGAAAAAAGACACCATCCCCCCCACCCCAAATTAAAAAAAAAAAACAAAAAAAGGAAAATATTTTCAATTTGGATTAAAAAAAAAATTCTTTCTCCTGTTGAATTGAAAAAGAAAGGTGTAAATACAGTAAAATGTTCTACTTGATCTGAAATCCTACACTCCACTTTGGGAGACATGACCCTTTTTTTTTTCCCCCCTCCTCTTTTCTTCCACTAGGATTAAGTCAATTTTGATACAGACATGTTGTTTCAAAAACAGTCAGAACCAATAAAATAATTTTTAGAACTCATTTTACCTCCATCCAGAAGAGCTTTTGGCAAGTAAACAAATCCTGCATCAATATACACAGCTTCATATTATCTGAATGTGCAATTTTCAGCAAGTATCCAAGTAAAAAATTATACCTGGCTCCAAGACTAATTTTAAGTGGTCTCTTAAAAGCATACTGAAAGAGTGGATGAAATACAGACTGATGTAGATGAAATCCATGAAAAATTATCCCTCCCAAAAACTACCTAAAAGGCATTCACATCTGCACACATACTCATCAAGGATGGGCTCACGCAGCAGAGGTCACACACAGCCAATTTTCCAATATTAACAGCTTTAACACTCCACTTGATCATCAACTTTACAGATGCCCATCATAACAAATGTTATGATATATTATACCTTAAACCCTTGCTCACTCCGTGTTGTATGTAACTTCCAATAACTAGTTCACAGGGGATGAAAATTTACTCCAGCTATCAAGCATACGCACTGACGATTTTGACTGAACTACAGTAGTTCATGCTTTTTGCCTAGCTTTATCAAAAACTATACGTAAGTGTTTAACAAAATGCATAGTCCCTCAGATGTCTTTGTTCATTTTCAGAAAGCCTACTCCCATTCACATGTTCTAGACGGCTGAATCTTTTTTGGGGGAAGTGCTGGTTTCTGTTGCTAATGGCTCACAGGAGTGGTTTTGACAAAATATTTTTTTTTAAAAAAAAAAAAAAAAAGGGAGAAAAATAAATTACCACGTAATAAATACATACACACCTGCTACAAGGTTCTGATGTATGTGAAAGGAAAATGGAATAGAGTAACAGTCATCAAACCTGTTTATATAATTTTTCCCATTACTTTATGCAACTGTTGCTAGGCAGTCATGTGCCATGGTGATGAGTGGAGTGTGAATACCTAGACAGATTAGAGAGACATATGTTACTGAACACGTTATGTATGGTGTGTTATCTCTCTAGACTGCTGTACAAAACCAAGATACCAAGTATCCCTTTTCCCCAAGGGGACCGCAATGTCAGATGGTTCAGAGAAATAGTTCAAGGGGTCTGACCTTATGGCAATACAGGTATCACTTTCTGCTCTTAGTTACACAGTTCTCTCTAGTGAGTTAAAACAGACAGGGCACATGTACTACTGCATTTTAAATAGAGGTTTAAATGAAAAGAATGAATAAAAATTCAAAAAATCAGCACTTTTTATAGTGGTTTTACAATGCACGCAATCTACTTCCTGAGCCAGTTTGTAAAGCCTGCTATATTCTTTCCAGAATCAGCTAGAAATATAGAAATTTAGAAGGATCTATATTGGAAAAGTAATTCACTCTGTTAGTTATGAAGACTGAACTATCCTGTAAGAAACTTGTAAGAATACCTTAAGAAGATAGTTCAAGGAGCTGTACAGGGGAAAATGTTAGAGAACAAAACTAACATAAATTCTTTTCTAAATAAATGCTTTTCACTCTTCCCACATCCAATTTGAAATTATTGCTTTCTGATCAGTAATGTGTTTTAACATAAGCAATAAGCACAATGACTATAAAGGGCATGGGAAAGGCACAACACAGGATTACAGAATCATGAAACTTGGCAAAAAGAACAGCAGGAGAAGTCGAAGTATAACAGTAAGAGGTGAAGATATAGCCTGTAAGTGCATGGGTAAGAGACAAAGACTTTTGGACAATAACACTTCAGGAGAACTTAAAATAAGAGAAGCCAAAAGAAAAAACTTGCACTATAATCAAGAAGACTGACAGCTAAGACACAAACCATGGTTTTCATGCTAGACAGGAAGAAATGTGTAAACTATCATAAAGGAAGAATCAGAAAATTTTGTTAATAATCTAAAGGGAAACTAGAAGTAAAGTTTGAGAATAACTGAAGTGGGAACCTCTGCAGCTGAAGTAAGTCAAATTTTTATATGTGCCAGAGCAGGTTCTATTACTTTGCTCCAACTGTTCAGTAATAAAGTCAGATGTGATTTTCGTTGCACTTCACTGCAGATTGGAGCAGGACACCCACAATGAAGTTTCACCAAGACAGCTGGTGGTGCAAAGCTGAGCAAATGAGAAGAGTCTGAGTGGGTGTCAGAAGATTGGAACTAATAGCTGAATAAATTAGATGTCCAATACCTTCATTACTGAAATGATTTCATCATGAAATAAATGCATATCCTGTGTTTATTTCAATGTGTAATATGAAATTCAAATCTGCTTTTACATATGTATGCAATCAGTTAGTCTTAAATACAGCTGTATTTATTGTCTTAAAGTCCTGAATTTCACACTTACAGAGTACCCGCTTCAAAAACTAGTAGTTATTCACAGAATTTCCAAATACTTTGAGATCTTCTTATATAAACTCTCTTTCTCTCAAAATCCATTTAATTTGAACATACCAAAGTTGTTGACCAATTCCAGGTGAAATCTGAAGTTTTTAAAGGAAGAAAAACTTGGAACTCCAGGAATACACTACAGAAATAAACAACGTAGCACCCACAAATAAATGTAAGAAATTTTGGTCTAAAAACATTCTGTCAGAACTTGAAGGTAACATTTTCTTACAAAAGTTCCTCTTTGACTTTAACATCAATGTATCACATCTCTTGTCCGTTATATATAAATATATCTTTTTTTACCCCAAACTGTCCAGACAACATGCTTGATGACCTTTCCTCATATAGGCTTTGATCCTATATAACCTTTGAGCACCTGGTTAGTTGCAGATGCTCTGAAATTTGTGCACATGGCTGTTCAAGTCACTTCTTTTCCAGTCCAAGCATTACTGCCAACTATCTCAATCCTGAGTTTCCCTAAACTCAAACAAGAGAGCATACTCCTAAACAAAGCAATGTGCTAGCAATGGTTACTGTGATTAGTCTTTCAGGTTTAAATTTACAATTTTAAAAACAAATCAATAAATAATATACTTGCTGGATGCAAAGAGCCTGCTATTTGTTACCAGGTACCCACTAACAAACATGCACACTAGAAAGCAACCTAACTGCTAGCGATGTTCTTAAATTATTGTGATACTGAGCAAACAGGTTGCCCAGAGAGGCTCCGAAGTCTCCATCCTTGGAGATATTCAAAACCAGCCATAAGCAACCTGCTTTACGTGACCCTGCTTTGAGCAGAGGGTTGGACTACATGACCTCCAGAGGGCCCTTTCAGCCTCAGCGATTCTTTGATGCAATTTTAAACATAGTGATATTGTTTGTTGGGTTCAAAATACAGTAGCAGTCTGTACTTCTTCCTATCAGTATCTCTGATCAGCTAAACTAATACCAAAACAAGACAAAAATAAGCTTCCCAAATACTCCTTCTGGCTATTTATCACTAGTTAGTCTTTGGTGCCAGGTCTGCTATGCTTGAATTTGTATAAATTGATAAAAGTGTTGGTACTGAAAACAAACCCAAACTACATTGCAAATTTAAAATTAGCATATCAGGATGTATGAGAAGCTGCTCAAGCAATAAGGAGAGATCAGACATTCATATGAAGCCTTATTCCCACACAGAGCAAGTAAAGGATATGTATAAGCACGTAAATCAAGCTACCACAAACATCAGGTTATAGTAAGTTCATTTGAAGTCCTAATATTACTTTCTATGCCATTTCTATGTTATATAATTACAGCAAGAATGGTGATCAAGGTTAGAAATAGTCCATAGAGATCTCATTCTTAGCATCCCACAAGAATGAAATAACCTGAGTATTACTAAGTTAAAACTCACAACTCAGGCTTTCAGCTAATGAACACTCAAACAGTTACAAAGCAAATCCACCCCATATCCTTTTCCAAAACACCCACTGGAGATATGAAGAGTCATTTTTATGGTTTTTTTGCTTAGTTAGTTCTTATAGCAACAAATTTTATTTATTTATAAACATAATAGCACATGACTATTGCGGTCAGATTATAAAGGTAGCCAGTGAGTGCTTGAAGTCAAGCAAAATGGCAAAAAAGTCACGGTGGGGTTCCTCCTCTTTTTCTATGAGGAGATGAGAACACACTTCCAAACATTGTACAAACAGAGAACCATTACCTTCTTTTTTCCTCAACTTCACCCCCTTTTACTTGTAAACAGTTTTCCCAAATAGCATGATTTTTTTCACTGAACTTCTTAAGGCCTCAAGTGATCATGATGACACATTGTAACACATCCAATGTTTCAGCATAACAGAGGTAAACTTAATTTTCTGCTCTAGTAGCGAACATCAGTTTAAAAACTACTCACCTCTGTTATATGAGGATTAGGATTGAATCCACACAGGCTGCAGACTACAGTATGACACTGTGTGCACGTGTTGTAATTGGCCTTTCCTGGAGCATGCAGCAGCAGTTCAGTGGTTGTGCAAAGAGGACAGAAGGTTTTCTTTGGGGCGGACTCAGTGGGTTGGGTTGCACTGGCTTGCTTTTGCTGCGAGGGTTTTTCAGGCCCCGGTTGCTGGCCTGGTGGTTTTGTAAGTCCTGGTTGTTGTGGCGGGGGCTTTGTGGCCCCTGCAGTCTGAGAAGATGGTTTTGTAGGCCCTGCCTGTGGTGGCACTTGTTTTACAAGCCCTGTTTGCTGCGGAAGTGGCTTCCCAGATCCGGGCTGTGATGGAGGTTTTGCAGATCCTGTTTGCTGAGCAGATGGCTTTTCAGGTCCAGGTTGCTGAGAAGGCTGTTTTGGAGGCCCTGCTTGCTGGGAAGATGGCTTTACAGGACCTCCTTGCCGTGCCGGCTGTTGAGATGGTTGTTTTACAGGTCCTGGCTGCTGCGATGCCGTTTTTGTGGGAGGTGGTGCTTGGGATGACGTTCTAGCATTGTCTGTTTGCTGTGGCGATGGTTTTGTTGGGCCCGACGAAGGTTTTGCAGAAGTTTGCTGTTGAACAGGCTTTGTTGGTTCCGACTGTTGGGGCTGAGATTTTTGCGGTCCTCGTGGCTGGGACGGTTGTTTCGCTTGTTCTAGCTTAGAGTCTGCTGGGTGACCAGGGCCTGGTTTCTGAACTTGCTTTGGTTCCCCAGGCTGCTGCTGAGGCACTGGTTTGGAAGACTCAGTTTGCTGGGGGGTAGGTCTGATGGGTCCTTGTTGTTGAACAGCTGGCTTTGGAGACTGCTGAGCTGGATGTTTTGCAAGGCCCCTCTGCTCCTCAGGTTTCCCTTGCTCTTTTGGGGTAACTTTTTGTTTCCTACCGGCTTCTTCATTGGCTGCATCTGAATCTGATATCAAATCAAAAGGACTGAATTTGTTCACAACTGAAGTGACTGCACTCAATGGATTGGCTTCTGAGAGAAAACTGGGCATCATACTTGGCTTCTGATCTTCTTTAAAATCAGTCCTGGACTTTGATTCCCTTAGACTAATAGAAGAAGGGCTCCGTCCAGGTGCCCGTTGTTCTGTCTTCAGCACATCTACCGTTCTGCTTTTACTTAAACTTGGTGGTCCTGGATCTGGAGGCTTACCTGGTTGCCTGAGATGGTGGCTTGTATCAAGCTCAGGATGTCTGCAGACAGAAAATGTAATAAAATTAAAATAATGCAGAGTACTAGAAAAATGAGATAAAACAAGATGTATCTGTGGCCCTGGAAGTGCTCTGGTAACACTGTGAAGTTTCTCGGGTGCTTAAGTGTTTGCAAGACCAAGGCTTATAACATAAGGTGCACAAAAAAGTATTTAAATAAAAATTATTGTTCTATAAAGGCTTATACAAGTATTCACTCATAGACGGATTTGTTATTCAGAAAATAATCTAATAAGACAACAATATTTAACCAGATAATTTTCAGAAATCTGAACAACTGAAAGGTACCACTTCCTATTTTACCTAAATCCAAATAACTAACTCTCCACTCTATCCCTTGGGATACAAACATAAGGAGACAGAGAAGACTAAAAGAAACAAGAGATGTCAGAAAATTAGCAGATCAAAGCATAGCCGTACAAGAAAAACATTACACAACACAAAATGTTTAGGAACTTGTCTTTTGGCTACCTGTACAAAGTTTGGATATTTCTACAATTCACTATGCAGCAAAGATTTAAACTCCTAAAATCCAAGCACATTAAGGAGTATATGCTTCTTTTTAAAGTATTTATTTTGCCACCCATCCACTCACAAATCAGAAGAATTTTCAATTAGATAAAACAGACACCAGTTCACAGAATTAGTCCTGAAGCTTTCTTTTTTTTAAATAGAACTACTGTAGGGCTTCCTCTCAGCATCACCCCAACAATTCACATTGCCCAGAAATAAAAATAAAACCTCTCATTACGTAAGGATTTTTCCCAGTTCTCTAACAATAATATTTTTCTGTGTTTTGATATAGGAGAAAATAAAAACTAAGCATGTAGGAACAAAAATCAAGATCATGTCTTCAGATGTGGCATAGTATTCTACTTGTTGCTATACTTGGCTGCAGCTGGAGGAAATAATATTGTATTCAATGCTATTGCTAAAGGATGTAGTAAAATATTCTATTCAGTGCTATCACTGCGCTTTTGCTGGAAGATACAGTGTTCTCTTCAGTGCCACAACAGTGTTGCAAATACAAAATTTTCAGGTTTCACTTTGGCAGATCCAGTTAACTGTGATCTTGTTTTTCCCGACATGACATTTCTTCTTGGGTATTCATAAGCAAAATAAAGAATCACTTATTACGTTTAACTGTATTCTTTAACTAAAAAATAAATAAATAAAAACCTGCACAATTCTGTTTAAGAGTTTTATCAGAATTCTGCAGAATTATATATAGTAGACACATTGAAAAATATATTTTACACTGTTAATGTTACCACAGGTTTATTATTATTTCTGATTAATATTTAGAGTTTTCATTATATGCCTAGCAACAGCAATATAAAAGGACAAAGCTAACTGATAGCAATATCTGTGCTCATAATTCTCACAATGTGGGATTTTCTCACAATCTTGTATCTGCAGGGGGGGTTGTAATTTAAAAATTTCCACATGAAATGCTTGTTAAGGACAAACTATTTCCAGCCTTCCATAACTCCATTTACCCTTCCCCATTCTTGTAAAATTATTGGCCATAATACTGGGAAGTTTACAACTACAGACTGACATTGAACAATTCTATTTAATCTGGAGAATCAGAAAGCCTCAAAAAAATAATCTTGGCTTTATTTTACAAGAATTTTCTTACTTTTAAGCCTCCTAAATCATGAAAAACCCACTACTGTTTTAAAGTCTTCAATCCAGACTCAACAAGCAAAATCATTTAGTCCACCCTCACTTAATTCTTTTCTTTTGCTGCTGTTTCTCCTCACTTTGGTCTTGATTCACAGAGCTCATCGTTATTCATTTACCTGAATATTACAGCCAAATCAAAGCTTACTTTGGAGTCAAGAGGAGATTTAACAAAAAGACTATTGGTCTCCTTCTTGAATGTCATAACTATAAAAACCTATTTAAAAAGGCATGTCTTTTTCCCATTCATCAGTATAAATAGTTTTAAAGAGAAGTGCAATAACTACACAACACCAAGATAGTTAGATCTTCTCATATCTACAGACAAGATACGTATAAACTTATGCACAGCCCTAGTGGCTAACTTTTTTTTAAGTCAATAGAGTGATGGCATTAACAAAAATACATATTTATTCTGGAAAATACACCATAAACATACTTTGTAAGTGTGACACTCAGTAAGACTTCTTAGCATTTCCTCTCAAAACGAAGCAAATTTTTTTCTGTTAATGTCTACTGAGAACAACTTAATGAACTGAACCCCGCCTACCCCCCAAAAAATCCAAAACAAAACAAAAAAAACCAAACCACTAACCAGCTGCATTAGATGGCTCATATATTCAGTTTGGTCATCTAATCCTTTCAGATGATGTGGAACAATTCTTCAGCAAGTGGACACTGACACAGTTAAGAAGTCATTCAATGAGGCTAGAACAACTGGTACTTGCTTACAAAGTGACTGTGTATGTTTCAGCTAAATCCCCTAACCATGATTTTTCTGAAGACAGGTAATTGAAATAGGATAGAATGATTTCCATAGGTGCTAAGCATCCCAAACTCTGAAACCTAGAGAATAAAATGTTCAAAGAAAAAAAACCAAAAAGGTACATCTGATTTAGGCAGTTCGCTTTAGGTGCTCTAGATCTAAATGCTTATATTAAAACGCATAATAAATACTTATTGCATTTATTTAGCTATTGCATTTTTGAAGACTTAAAAGCTCAAAGCCTACAGAAGTCCTAAAAGCTACAGCATGTATTTTATGGTGGTAAACGTGCAGCTATGTTTCCTGCTACATACATCACTTACTATTAAGAAGTCTGTAGTTGCAAAAATTGTTACTTCAGGATATCATCAATCATGAGGAATTTGTACACTTCAAGACTTGGGTTGCTTTAGAAGGGGAATGAAAGCATTTAGAATAGGAAATAATTATTAGTCTCTCAGGTAAGACTAGATAACAGCTAATGTTATAATGGAAATCACAGGGGAAAAATCCAGTTAGCAACATGAAAAAAAATCTAACAGACAATGCAATAGGGACACTGTCATAATGCTAGGCTATATAAACTGGAAGCCAGAATTCATGTTTTGATCACTATTTCAGTCACTTAACATTTGGATTGGCATAACCGCACTAGAAAAAAAGCTGTTGGGAACTACAGTTGTAGAGCATCAGTTAAGAGGTATTTTCCACATCTGATTTCTTTGGCCACACCAACTAAAAAAAAAGCTTGAGGATAAGGAATCTGAGCCTCAGCAGGCTAGTTCTTTACTTCAGTTGAAGTGTGGAAAAGGCTGATCCTTAGTCCTCACAGAGTCTTACTCCAAGGGTTTGGATCAGATTCTTAATAATTATTCCCATTGTTGGTAGATTCCAACAGCAAAGAAAGGTGTGCAAGATGAGCAAGTAAAACCCCAAAACAGGAGCAGAGACAAGTAGTAACCTCATTACAGTGTGACAGGCACAAACATGCTATGATGGGAACTGCTACATTCCCACAAGAGAAGCTAGTTGATAGGTTATTGAACTGAATGTTAAAATGTCAACTTTTAGTCAAAGTTAAAAGGCTGTAATTCACAAATATAGAGAGACTTTACTTTAAATGGAGAGTGAAAGTATGGTACGCTAACAAGATCAAAGTAGTTTCTGATGTCATAAATATGTTTGTAGGAAAGCAGCCATTTATAAATGCAGAAATATTCACATTGCAATGAGCTTAGCCTATTCTAAAATCTTCCAAGGACATTTACCTTACTTTTTACTGGAACATCAGCATGAAACAATAAATTTTTGAAGTCTTTGCTCGTAGACTGTTATAGAAGAGTGAATTTTGAGTTTAGTTTCACAGAACTAACCAATATGATTTTTTTTTTTCATTAGCGTCTATAGAAGCTGAGTTGAGCCCTGAACCAAATGGAAAATTATATTTTACATACAGTGTTAATACCCGTTTAATAATTATGCCAGACATAAAATAGGAAGATGTGATTTCCAGTTTTAAAAAATGGAGACCGTCATCTCAGGTATAATCCCAATGACTCCAGTAGTTTGCCCAAGGATGAATTTGGTCCCACCCTCCTTGCTTCTCTTCTCCTAGAATTCACTTATATAAACCTGACATTATATAAACTCAATATGCGTTTATCTAGGGTGAGGTCAACACACAAGAACCCTGCTCAACAGTCAGCCGAGGAGGCTCCTTCCTTTCAGCATCCTCCCTCAAGACAAACAGCACACCCGGCCACGGAGACGGAGAGCAACAGAGACGCCGGCCCCGGAGGAGGGGCCGGGGGAGCCGGCGGCGGGTTCAGCACCGCGGACAGGGGCACGGGCGGCGAACGGCGGGCGGCGAGCGGGGACGGCCGCCACCGGCACCGGCACCGCCGCGGAGAGCGCCGGGCCCTGGGCCGGGGCGGGGGAACGGGCTTGTTGCGCTGTCGGGCAGCGAATTTACTACGGGGCAGGGGAAGAAAGGGGAAGGAGCCTACCCTGGCCTTCGCAGAGGCACTACGAGGTAAAGCCATCACTATCCAGAACACTGACTCCCGTGGCAATCGGTTTAATCTATTAATCTATTATTCGCCTCTCTGTCCCCTTTCGACAAAAAAAGGAAAAAAAAAAAAAAGAACAAAAATAAGGGAGAAAAATAGACTGAAGCAGACCTCCTCAATCCACGACTATCTAATGAAGCCAAACGATAGTTGCAGAGCTTAAGAATTGGCAGAGCGATGCCTAGCAAATACATCATGCCCACAAGCTTTGAAAGCTCCAACAAGAATCTCCTCCTGCAGAAGGAGAAGCTTACAGAGCCCACCAGCCCTGGGGAGAGCTTCCCTGGCTACTATTATCTGAGCCGTGGGGCACTCCAGCCCCGTAAAGCGCACACACACACACACAGAGAAAACCGAAACGTCGCCTGCAAATCTCTCCCCTCCCTAGACACACAAACTACCCGTGCTCCGGAGCGGTGCGAGGGGAGGGAAGGGGAGCGGGCGCAGCCCACTGGAACCGAGGACCGCCGTTATTATTAGAAACCACCGGAGTGGGAAAAGCTGGAGAGTGCAGGCTCCCGTCCCAGTGCCCGCACTCGTGCAGCCGCCCCCTTCCCTCCCTCAGCCAGCAAAACGCAACGCCTGCTCCCGATGCGACGGGCCCGGCTCGTATTGCGACTCGCCCCCCGCCCCACCGCGAGAAAGACGGAGAAGGGGTGGGGGGAGGAAGGGAGGAGCGGGAGAAGGGAGATTTTCCGTGCATGCCTTTGCATGGGAGGCGGCTCCGCGCCGGCGAGGTTCCCTCTGGGCAGCCCCTGCGCCCTTGACATGACAGCGGCGATCTGCCTCCTCTCCTCCTCGCTCAGCTGGCTCAGGTCCGCCTCCACCCCGGCCGGGACCAGGCGCTCCAAGGGGGCTGCGGAGCCGCCGCCATCCCCGCCTGCCGCCGCCGCCGCCCCTTCGGGGAAGGCGCCCAGCCCTTCGCCTCCTTCCAGGCTCGCCTCGTTGCCCATGGCCCCCGCCGCCGCGGCTCGCCGCTCGCCGCCTCT